CGCCTTTCGGTCGCTCGGCCCCTCGGCTGGCCCCATGCCATGGCTTTCTCTGTTTCTGTTTGTTTTCGCTTGTCCGTCGGCTGCACAGGTCGCCCCAAGCTCGCCCGCCGCCCCGCGGTCGCCCGGCCCCTCGGCTGGCCAAATGCATTGGTTTTGTTTGTGTTTGTTTGGTTTCGCTTGTCCGTCGGCTGCGCTGGTCGCCTCAGGCCCGCCCGCAACCGTTCGGTCGCTCGGCCCCTCGGCTGGCCCAATTCATTGGTTTTGTCTGTTTTTTGTTTGTTTTCGCTTGTCCGTCGTCTGCACTGGTCGCCCTGCGCACGCCCGCCGCCTTTCGGTCGCTCGGCCCCTCGGCTGGCCCCATTCCCCGGCTTTCTTTGTTTTTGTTTGTTTTCGCTTGTCCGTCGGCTGCACTGGTCGCCTCAAGCTCGCCCGCCGCCCCGCGGTCGCTCGGCCCCTCGGCTGGCCCAATTCACTGGTTTTGTTTGTTTTTGTTTGTTTTCGCTTGTCCGTCGGCTGCACTGGTCGCCCTGCGCACGCCCGCCGCCCCGCGGTCGCTCGGCCCCTCGGCTGCCCCCATTCCCTGGCTTTCTTTGTTTCTGTTTGTTTTCGCTTGTCCGTCGGCTGCACTGGTCGCCTCAAGCTCGCCCGCCGCCCCGCGGTCGCTCGGCCCCTCGGCTGGCCAAATGCATTGGTTTTGCGTGTTTTTGTTTGTTTTCGCTTGTCCGCCGGCTGCACTGGTCGCCTCAGGCCCGCCCGCCGCCGTTCGGTCGCTCTGCCCCTCGGCTGGCCAAATTCACTGGTTTTGTTTGCTTTTGTTTGTTTTCGCTTGTCCGTCGGCTGCACTGGTCGCCCTGCGCACGCCCGCCGCCCTTCGGTCGCTCGGCCCCTCGGCTGGCCCCATTCCCTGGCTTTCTTTGTTTCTGTTTGTTTTCGCTTGTCCGTCGGCTGCACTGGTCGCCTCAAGCTCGCCCGCCGCCCCGCGGTCGCTCGGCCCCTCGGCTGGCCAAATGCATGGGTTTTATTTGATTTTGTTTGTTTTCGCTTGTCCGTCGGCTGCGCTGGTCGCCCCAGGCCCGCCCGCCGCCGTTCGGTCGCTCGGCCCCTCGGCTGGCCCAAATCACTGGTTTGGTTTGTTTTTGTTTGTTTTCGCTTGTCCGTCGCGGGGGCTAGCCGCGGGGCCGAGCGACCGAAAGGCGGCGGGCGAGCCTGTGGCGACCAGTGCAGCCGACGGACAAGCGAAAACAATCAAACGCAAACAAAACAAAGGAATGGGGCCGGCCGAAAGGCAGAGCGACCGCTGGGCGGCGGGCGAGCCCGGGGCGACCATTGCAGCCGACGGACAAGCGAAAAAAAACAAAACACAAACAAAACCAAGGACTGGGGCCAGCCGAGGGGCCGAGCGACCGAAAGGCGGCGGGCGAGCCTGAGGCGACCAGTGCAGCCGACGGACAAGCGAACACAAACAAAAACAAACAAAACCAAGGAATGGGGCCAGCCGAAGGGCCGAGCGACCGCGGGGCGGCGGGCGAGCCTGAGGCGACCAGTGCAGCCGACGGGCAAGCGAAAACAAACAAAAACAAACAAAACAAAAAAATGAGCCAGCCGAGGGGCCGAGCGACCGAGACGCGGCGGGCGAGCCTGTGGCAACCAGTACAGCCGATGGACAAGCGAAAACAAGCAAAAACAAACAAAACCAAAGAATGGGGCCAGCCGAGGGGCCGAGCGACCGCGGGGCGGCGGGCGAGCCTGGGGCGACCAGTGCAGCCGACGGACAAGCGAAAACAAAAAAAACAAAAAAAACAAGGAATGGGGCCAGCCGAGGGGCCGAGTGACCGCGGGGCGGCGGGCGGGCCTGGGGCGACCAGTGCAGCCGACGGACAAGCGAAAGCAAACAAAAACAAACAAAACCAAGGAATGGGGCAAGCCGAGGGGGCGAGCGACCGCGGGGAGGTGGGCGAGCCTGGGGCGACCAGCGCAGCCGACGGACAAGCGAAAAAAAAATAAAAACAAACAAAACCTTTGCATGGGGCCAGCCGAGGGGCCGAGCGACCGAACGGCTGCGGGCGAGCCTGGGGCGACCATTGCAGCCGACAGGCAAGCGAAAACAAACAGAATCAAACAAAACCAAGGAATTGGGCCAGGCCGAGCGACCGCGGGGCGGCGGGCGACACTGGGGCGACCAGTGCAGCCGACGGACAAGGCGAAAACAAACAAAACAATCAAAACCAAGGAATGGGGCCAGCCGAGGGGCCGAGCGACCAGCGTCGCCCAGGGAAGTGACAACCAAACCCTAGAAGTAGATTAGGTTTGCGCCCGCCCCCCAAAAAACAAAAAATATAGATTCTTGAAATAGGAAGGCGCTTAAAGTAGATTGGGATCTGGGAATCCAAAAATACCTACTTTCAACGGCCGGTGGGTATATATAAACACGTCGATCTCATGGAAGCCCACTGGCGCATCGCCCTGGCGGCAGAGGACCCGGCCCGATGAGCCCAGTGCGCCGCCCGCCCGCCAGCGATGCCGCCGCCGCTCCGAGCAGCCCCAGGCCAGCGCGGCAGCAGTGCCCAGCGAGCTGGAATAGGAAGGCACCAACTATACACCAACACCGATCCTGGCCCAGGATCACCCTGGGCCAGGATCGGTGTTGGTGTATAGTTAGTGCCCTCCGATGGAAACCGCACGAGGAGGGGGACAAGGGGAAGCGGGGCGGGGCCGTTAAGAGGCAACTACTGGGGCAGAGTAAGAATTTGATGTCCCAGGAGTTGCATCCGAATGGGGCGGGGGCGGAGACGGAGAGACACCCATGGCACAGCGCAGCGGTGGCGGCAACAGCAGGCGCGTGGGGGGGGGAGGGGGCGGGGGGAGGAGGAGAGGGGTAGAATCGGCGGAGGAGGGCGACAGAGAGAGGATAATAAACAAACGCGCCGAAACAGACAGGCACCCACTCGCGGTGACACTCGATGGAATAACCGCGACCATTGCCCAGGTCGAGTCAACCATGCTGCCCAAACGACTCAGAACCATGAGCCGCCTTGCTTCCGAACTCACGTCGTCATCACAACCTCAGATCACTGCTGCGCCCGGCTGCTCCAGATAGAGGTGGTCATCGGATGTGAAGTGGACGAATTGTCCCCTGCGGATTCCGAGGTCGTAAAGCATCCGCGCGCACGTCAACGCTGCCCTCGTTCGACAGAGTCTGGAAGTCAGTATGCCAGTGTGGCAGCAGGGCCCGTGATCCAGTGGCGTCTGGGACGTGGTGTCGCGGCGGCCGCCTTCCCATCGCGAGGCGCGGCGGCGAAGCGTCGGAACGGCGTGTGGAGAAGAATCGGCACCAATACAATGCCGAACAACCACTTGCGGAGGTTCGCACTCATTTGTTTGGTCTGCCCTGGGCTTCCCTTCACGCCAGCACCCAGCGGCGCTTTCAGCCCAGCGCCGACCTGTGAAATTCACGCAGGCATGTTAGTGTTTTTTGCGCTTCGAGCTGAGGAGATCGAGGAGCTTTTCGCCGAGTCTGCCGTCGCCACATGGATGACCCAACAAAGAGCGGCAGGCGCGCCAACTGTGCCAGCTTCGGGGCCATCCGGATCCTGGAATCGGCCGGAAAGAAAACGCAACGATTCGTTCCACTCCGCCAACGTCATATAGATCCGAGCCGGCAACGTTACACAGAGATGACGGCACGGGTGGCGTCGTCGTCGTCAGCTTCGGCTCACAAGATGCGAGTCGGTCTCGATGCGAACTACAAGCTCGGGGGATTGTTCTCCTCACGCCTGTCCACGGGCGAGCGCAAGCTTCCAGCCAATCACAGGTTAGTTAGAGCGAGGCGGTGTGGGTTTGCACCACCTAGCTTACACCACATAGCTTGCACCGCATAGCAGTGAAGCTGGCACTCGTTTTCTCCTGAGCGGCGCTGCGCTCAATGAGTTTCGAGGCCGCGGCCGCAAACGCGAGGGAACTTTTGCGGCGGTAGTTCGTGGTCGAAACCGCGACCAAGCCAGGCCCGACCGGGCAAATCGCAAGGACGTGTCAAGCGAAACGGCGCCCAAACTAGACCTAACCAAGAAACCCGTGCGTAAGGAAGTACCTTATCAGGCAAAACCGCGTCCAAGCCATACTGAACCAGGCAATGCGCGAGGAAGTCGCAAGCGAAACCGCGCAGAAACCAGGAAACACACATTTCAGTTGCAAGGACGTCTCAGGCGAAACAGTGCCGAAGCCAAGCCAAGCCAAACCAGGCACATCGGAGAACGTCTCAAGCGAAACAGGCCCAGAACCAGGCCATGTCAGGAACCAAAACATGCAAACTCTGAGGATGTCTCATGCGGAACGCCCTGCCAAACCAGGCCAAACCAAGCCACACCAGGCCACACCAGGGACCAAACTAGGCAAATTCCAAGGATGTCCTGAACGAAACGACCCAAACCTAGCTCCGTCCACTCTCCGTGCTAGGAATTAAACTACGTCGTGGGGCCCTTCTGTAGTAGAACTTGTTTAGGGGCTGGGCTACAACTGCATGCAGTTGTCCTTCGGTTATTGTTCGGGTTTCGGTGTGGCGTTCGGAGGGATGGTCCCCAGTCTGTATGCACATGAAAAGGCATACGCGGGGGTCCGGAGGTACGGAGGTCCGCGCGGATTTCATAGGTCGGCGCAGGACCCCCTTTCCTAGCACGCGAGGCGCGCGCCCGGGGCGGCACCGTAGGCACCCCCCAAGAGGTGCAGGAAGGGGCGGTCCAGAACCGACCCAAGACACCTGCGTGGACCTGGGATCAGGATCCGCAGAAGGCTGCTATATGCGACGTCACCACGCCTGACCAGTGCCGTCCTGGACCACCGGGCGCCGTAGAGACCCTCTTGACCTCGGCCACGAAGGCGTGACCAGGAGGGCGTACACAGCATCCCAGGGCCCAGGCTGGCACTGGCCAGGAGTGGTGGTGTGCATGGCAGTCGGGCCCGCAAGGAAGAGGGGCCCCCCAAGCGAAGACTCCGCCCGCCGTGGC